AAAAAAAAAAAAAAAAGGAACGATACAATAAGGTAACAAGTGTCAAGAAGCATTTGTTAGCGAGAAAAGAGGTATTTGCACGTGAAGCTATGCCTGATTAAACAAAGGTATAATGAATGATTCGACAAAAATCTAGAGCCGCTTGATCTCTTCAACGTATTCATTGCAATGCAGTAGATAATGTAAATAATGCATCAGCATTTTTTCTCTTTTATATTTATTCTTTAAAAAAAAAAAAAAGTGGCTTTTGTCGGTTGAAGCATAATCTAAGAGAAAAGAACTAACCCTTCCAACTGCATTGAGTTGCCGACCAATTGGTTCCATAAACTTCAGGTCCACTTCAATGGGCCATACCTGCACACACGATACAAACCCGAGATTTTACAATCCTACATTACAGCTCAACCTAAGAGGCTCAAAAATTCATTGTAGGTCATCTCAACAGGATTAAAAAAACCTGCAGTTTATAAAGATCCAAAAAACTTACTTTGAGAACAATGAACAGAAGGTATCAATCCAAACATTTAAAAACCTAATGCCCAAATCGGAGTTTCAAGTAGTTGAATTTGGTGAAAGAAACTCTTAGATTCAAAGATCATTTCTGATTCTTACAATTCATATTTTTTAATATCTCTAAGGTTTAACTAGAAAGTGAAGCATAGACTTATCCCTGTCTTATAATCCATAGTCATAATTTCTATTGACCATGTTCATTACCAAACTGCTTATTTCCTCAGTACTGCCTTCCAAGTCGAGTAGTAGAATAGCATACACACAAATGTGTTTATAACGAACCTCTTAAGATGATCAAGTCGTCAGAGACTCAGCGTTAACAGTAAGAAGAGTAATAATCATCTTCTGTTTTCCTTACTGTTAATTCAATAACCTTCAGATAACAAAATGCACAGAACTTGTTCAAGAAAGGCAGACAAAAAGAAAAGAATGTACCTGTAGCCCAAGTAATTTGATGGGCGTAGCTAGTCCGGGCACAATGCAGTCGGGCCCGGCAGCTTCAACGACAGCCACTTTCCCTAGCCCACTCCCAACTGGATCTGCATGCTGAACAATTACCATCCAAAATGCAGTTCAATCCCATAAGTAAAATGACAATGGGTTCATAACTACTGCAACTTAAGAATACCAAAGTGACAATAATCTCTTTAAAAAACATCAGTTCCGAGGACCGAAGACCAATCAGTTACAGCTTTTCATTCAGTGTCAAAACAATCTTAACAAGTAATATCAGCAGAAGCCACAAAACATACACATACTGAGTACATAACAAAATGGGAATTAAGAACTACAATCCATCGGCATAGCTATTTAAGATGTTCATTACCAATTTACATAACTTCCAAGTTCTAATAAAGGCTCACAAGGTCACGAGCAAAGAAAACTACAGCATAAATATACAAACCATAAAGATTACATTTTTACACGCAAAGAGCAAACCTTTCCCCAAATTAAATCTCCATTAATAGCCACAAAAAGGACAATAAAAGTCCAGATAGCAAAACCAAAAACCCACCAAACAAAATTTACAAGAAACCTTCAACACACACACACACACACACACACACACACACACACACCAACCTTCATCACATAGAGGCCATAGCTAGACTCAGGAGTCTGAGGCACTCTAAGAACCGGAGAGTGGTGGATTTTCGGGACAGGTTTTGCGGAGGATGAAGCTCGCCATGGCACGTCATTTTGGAGGGCAGCTCCTTTTTTCGACATTTGTTTGCGGTACTTTGTTAGGTATCCCTCAAAATCTTTGCTGTAAGATTGTTGTATAAATCAGTAGAAAAGGGATACAGGGCTGGTATGAATTTGAGGTTTTATTTGGTTGGTGAGTGTTAGGATTGAGAGTTTCGGGTGAAGATAAGGATTTGGCTATGGCTGATAAGAGATTTATTAGTAAGAGGGATTTATGGTGAGGAAGGAGAGACTCGATGCCGTGATGAGACTTGGAACTAATCCCATCTTTTCTACATTTTAAAATATTTTTTATTTTTACTTCAATACAATGGTAAATTATTAATTCAAAATAATCAATTGAGATTTTTTTATTTTGTTATTTTTTACAACCCAAGAGTTTATTATTGGGGTGATAGTTTTTGTTTTTTTGTTTTTTTTAATCATAGTTTCTCTTTCCTTTATTCACGATTTCAAACTCCAACAAATTAATACCGCTGGAGTTCCCCCTTTTTTCTCTCTATAAATAAAAAAACTTTAAAAACCCTAATTTCACAGTAGCCATCGTCCCCCCTTTTCCGGCGGGTCACCCCCTGCAGCCCGGTGTCGTGGTTTAGGGCTGCTTTTCTGCCTCTCTCGGTATCTGTGGTTGACAGGCTGAAGGCGGGTTTCACCGCATTGTCTTCCCCGACACCGGAGGGGTTGCCGACCGCCATCTCTAGCTCCA